AGAACCAGAAATGCATGCCAATAGATGATTTATCTCTTGTCGACTTGATGATGCAAAGTAGAAGGGACCGCTTCTATGACACGAATCCATAGCCTTCCAAGTAGCAGATTGAAGGAAGTCGGGATGTCTAGTACCTAGAATTTTTTCTGAAACAGGACCGGCCATGCAGTTCATTCTAAGGTTAGGATGTCCATTACCCCCGTGTTGTCATACGCTCTAATGGCATGCGTTACGACTGCGAAATCTTTTTGCTGATATCACTTGCAACTCCCCAGGCTTGTTTGGTTTGGGAACCCAAGAGCGGTACATCGAGGAAAATTGAAAGGTAAATTTCAAAAAAAAAAACAGATGTGGCGCCAAAAAAGCGACACGCCTGATGGTCCAAGCGGTGGAATTATTTCAAAAGCATTATTTTTTAATAAGTTTGGAAAACACATTTTTTATTTAATTTATTTAAACCAGCGTTATTTTATATATAAAAAAAATTCATGTTTATCCTGTTCATTTTGAACAGCACGGTCTACCATGTGAGATATATATATATATATATATAAATGACACTCCCAATCATGCAGTTTTTGAATCACTCTTTTTTAGAAGTTATTCTTCTTTGGTCCAAAAAAACAATTGACAATTAAAGAGTCAATAATCTTAATTACCTCTAAAAAAATCCCATCAAAATTCTTAGAACTAGTTTTATGAACAAAACAAATAATACATTTGAACAGTCTCACGACCTTTAGTTGGTGAGTTTACTTGTATCATCAAAATAGTGGCTCTTTTGGGTTCACTAATCTTTGTCGGCTCTTATTTTTGGACAAGATGCTCTTCTGAGCTTGTAGGCTCTAATATCATATCAATATTCGTATATTCCATCTTAAAATTAATTCGGAATAAGGGAGAGGGGTCCACTTATATAATAAACCATGGTTAGGTCATTTACCTTTTCAACTGGGTTCCTTAACATTCATTACATACAATGCCTCTTTTGGATTCACTAATCTTGACCCCATCTCATATTTAGACCATGATTCAGATACCATATCACAACGTGGGATGATCCTAACATGCTCTAAACTTCTCTCTCCTTGATTTTTTTTTGTTTGATAAATAGTTTGAAAACGAGAGGGGTCATTAATTTTGCTTCTGACATTCAATGCTATATGATACAAAATAATGTCACGAGAATTGAAGAAGAAAATTACAAATAGTTGGAAGGAAATCATAGAAGATTTCGTGCTATCAACTGATGTTCCAAACACTACTTTTATGTATGTCTTAAATCCCGTGCGAATTTAAGTGGTATTTTTTCTAGTACAATATATTGGGGAGGAATTCGAACTCGAAACTTCTTGATTGGAGGTATACGCCAATTACTGCTGAGCTATGCTCGCTTTGGACCAATTTAAGTGGTATTAAGCTGGATGATAAGTTTTCATGTATAAAATATAGTATTTTACAAGTTGTACTAAAAAAAATATGTGACAAATAATAAGAATAAAACAATGCACCAAAATAAAATATTGTACTCTTTTAAAGTTCTTATTATCATTTATTTACTCGTGGATCCAGTGCCAATTTAAGTGGCATTAAGCAGAATGATAATTTTTCATGTATAAAACATTGCTTTTTTACAAGTTGTACTAAAAAAATATGTGACAAATAATAAGAATAAAAAAATGCACTAAATAAAATATTGTACCCTTTCATTTATTTATTCCTAGATCTCGTGTTAATTTAAGTGGTATTGAGCTGGATCAAAAGTTTTCATGTATAAAATATAGTATTTAAAAGCTGTACTAAATAAAAAAAATGATAGATAATAAGAATAAAACAATGCACTAAATAAAATATTGTATTCTTTTAAAGTTCTAATTATCATTTATTTACTTGTGGATCATGTGCCAATTTAAGTAGTATTGAGTTGGATGATAAGTTTCCATGTATACAATTTTATAAGTTGTACTAAAAAAATATGTGATAAATAATAAATATAAAACAATGCACTAAATTAAATTGTACTGTTTTAAAGTTCTTATTATCATTTATTTTGCTCGTGGATCTCATGCCAATTTAAGTAGTATTGAGCTGGATGATAAGTTTCCAAGATTAAAATATAGTATTTTACAAGTTGTACTAAAAAAAATATGTGACAAATAATAAGAATAAACAATGCACTAAATAAAATATTGTACTATTTTAAAGATCATATTGTCATTTCTTGACTCGTGGATCCCGTGCCAATTTGAGTGGTATTGAACTGGATGATAAGTTTCCGTGTATAAAGTATAGTATTTTACAAGTTGTACTAAAAAAAATATGTGAAAAATAATAAGAATAAAATAATGCACTAAATAACATATTGTCTACTTTAAAGCTCTTATTATCATTTCTTTACTCTTGGATTCCATGTCAATTTAAGTGGTATTGAGGTAGATGATAAGTTTCCATCGAAACCAAACGAGACTCGAAAGAACATGGGAATTTGCACCATTCCTATGAGTGCTTTTGTCTCGAAGTATAAAATATAGTACTTTACAAGTTGTACAAAAAAAAAAACTATGTGATAAATAATATGAATAAAACAATGCACTAAATTAAATATTGTACTCTTTTAAAGTTCTTATTATCATTTATTTCACTCGTTGATCTCATGCCAATTTAAGTGTTATTGAGGTAGATGATAAGTTTCCATGTATAAAATATAGTATTTTATAAGTTGTACTAAAAAAAGGTGATAAATAATAAGAATATAACAATGCACTAAATAAAATATTTTACTCTTTTAAAGCTCTTATTATCATTTTTTTACTCTTGGATTCCGTTCCATTTTAAGTGCTATTAAAATGGTTGATAAGTTTCAATGTATAAAATATAGTATTTTAATAGTTGTAATAAAAAAATATGATAAATAATAAGATTTAAATAATGCATTATTGTACTCTTTTAAAGCTCTTATTATCATTTCTTTACTCTTAGATTCCATGCCAATTTAAGTGGTATTGAGGTGGATGATAAGTTTCTACGTATAAAATATAGTAATTTACAAGTTGTAAAAAAAATGTGATAAATAATAAGAATTAAACAATGCACTAAATAAAATATTGTACTATTTTAAAGATGTTTCGTCATTTGTTTACTCGTGCATCCATGCAATTTTATGTGATATTCAGTTGAATGATAAGTTTCAATGTATAAAATATAGTATTTTAAAAGTTATAATAAAAGAAAAGAGATAAATAATAAGAATAAAACAATGGCCTAACTAAAATATTGTACTCTTTTAAAGTTCTTATTATCATTTCTTTACTTTTGGTTTCCGTGCCAATTGAAGTGGTATTGAGATGGATGATAAGTTTTCATGTATAAAACATAGTACTTTACAAGTTGTACTAAAAAACTATGCACTAAATAAAATATTGTTCTCTCTTACCAACTTAAGTAGGTTCGAACTCATGACCTTTTGATCAGAGATAGGTGTCTTAACCACTTGAGCTATGCTCGGTTTGGCAACTTATGTGGATATTGAATGGAATGATAAGTTTCCATGTATAAAATATAGTATTTTACAAACTGTGCTAAAAAAATATGTGACAAATAATAATAATAAAACAATGTATTAAATAAAATATTGTATTGTTTTAAAGTTCTTGTTATCATTTATTTACTAGTGCATCCCATGCCAATTTATACGGTATTGAGCTTGATGATTAGTTTCCATGTATAAAATATAATATTTTACAAGTTGTGCTAAAATAAATATGTGATAAATAATAACAATAAAATAATACACTACATAAAATATTGTACTCTTTTAAAGTCCTTATTATCATTTATTTACTCGTGGATCTCGTGCCAAAGTGAGCATAAACTCAGTGGTAATTGGCATATATGAAGTTTCCATATATAAAGTATAGTATTTTACAAGTTGTGCTAAAATAAATATGTGATAAATAATAAGAATAAAATAATGCACTAAATAAAATATTGTAGTCTTTTAAAGTTCTTTTATTTACTCGTGGATCTCGCGCCAAAACAAGCATAACTCTGTCGTAATTGGCATATAATAAGTTTCCATGTATAAAATATAGTATTTTACAAGTTGTACTAAAAAAAATGTGATAAATAATAAAAATAAAAGAATGCACTAAATAAAATATTGTTCTCTTTTAAAGTTCTTATTATCATTTATTTACTCGTGGATCTGGTACCAACTTAAATGGTATTGAACTGGATGATAAGTTTCCATGTATAAAATATAGTATTTTACAAGTTGTACTAAAGAAATATGTGATAAATAATAATAATAAAACAATGCACTAAATAAAATATTGTACTTTTTTAATGGTCTTATTATCATTTATTTAGTCATGGATCTCGTGCCAATTTAAGTGGTATTGAGCTGGATGATAAATTTTCATGTATAAAGCATAGTATCTTAAAATTTGTGCAAAAGAAAAATATATGACAAATAAAAAGAATAAAACATTGCCCTAAATAAAATATTGTAATGTTTTAAAGATCTTATTGTCATTTATTTACTCTTGAGATCCAGTACCAATTTAAGTGGCATTGAGCTGGATGATAAAATTATAATAGTATTTTACAAATTATACTAAAAAAAATGTGACAAATAATAAGAATAAACAATTCACAAAATAAAATAAAATAGTGTTCTCTTTTCAAGATTTGCAGCATCAATTTTTTTGGGTGGGTAGGTCAGAGGGCTCTTGTCACAGGGTTATATTAAAGCATAAAATTGGAGACAAATCTAAAGTTTGACTGGGCGTCTACTCGATAATATATAATAATAGGCATTATATTTGGTTGATATATTTTTATATGAATTAAATTTAATCAATTTAATAGCTGAAAGTTTCAACTTGTTGATTGAATAATAATGTTTAAATTAGAATCTATATTAGTTTGAATATTGTTTAAGTTTAGTCTCTTTATATGTAATTTTATCCTTGCATCTATAAATTGGAAGCTCGTTGAGCTCTTTCTTTGCCAAACAAAGTTGTTCTAAGAAAAACAAAAACCTTTTTAATTTCTCCGAGTCTTCAGTAATGGACTCTTCATTTTCATCTCTTCTTATTCCTCAACAAAGTGCATCATCCATCAATGGTGATACTCGTCGATCAGCCAACTTTCCTCCAAATATATGGGGAGATTATTTTCTTTTTAACACTTTTCATTCCATGGTAATAAATAGTATATCGTTAGTTCATCTTCTTAATACATAATCTACGTATTGATTGCATTTTTCGTTATTTTTTCTTATATTGATTTTAAATCGTTCTATTTTAGCTTCTAAACTCACAAGTTACATGCGAATTGGTTGGAATTTATAATTCTTTATAAAAATTGGTGTTTAAAGAAATAATCTATATATTTATTAAGTTCTAGTTAGGTAAAAAGCTCCCACAAAATGTTTTGCTAATTATTATTATTTTTTAAAGATTTGTTAAAATTGAAATCTTCCTTCAACCAAAATTTATGTTTTTTCTTATTTATTTTTTTTTCAGGAAATGGAAGATAATATTGAGGAAAAAGTTGAAGCAGTGAAGGAGGAAGTGAGAAAATTGTTGATTACTTGTGTCGAGAAACCTTCCCAACAACTAAGCTTGATTGATTCAATCCAACGGTTGGGAATCGCTTATCATTTTGATACAGAGATCAATGAAGCGCTCGATCATGTTTATAAGAATTACAGTGTCGTTTGCAATGAAAACAATGAGGATCTCCAAATTGTTGCTATGAAGTTTCGCTTGCTTAGACAACAAAGATACTCTATTTCATGTGGTAGGCTCTCACTTATTTATCATCGAAGTTAATTATTTATTTTTCCTAAACTAAAATTTAGTTTTTGTATTTTGAATATTGTGTAAATTCTAAATAGTTTTAATTATATTTCTAAAATAATAATGAAAATTTGTAAAGTTGACAAATTTATTAGTTATATATATGACCTCAAAACTACAAAGCTAAAGTTTGGACTTGGTTGTGCGTGAGAGTGAGTTTGAGAGTAATACTTTTGGGTGAAACTTTTTTTTTTTCCAAACATTTTGAAGAACGACACTAATTAAATTAAAGAGCTTATTCTGAAAATACTTTAAATTTATAAGAGATTTAGAAATTTTGACCATGTGACCAAACATCATTAAAAATAATAATAATAAAATAAAAAAAATTAGCTATAAGCGTTTACAATTTAAAAATTACGTCAAATTCACGATTGCTAAGGAGTTGTTTAATAAACATTTGAGATCTTCTGTTTTTGGTTTTCAATTTTTTGGGAATGAGTTTGTTTGGTAACTATTTTATATTTTTTTTAAATTTTAAATAAATTTTAAAAATTTTAAAAATAGATTTATGTTTCTCAAATATTTTGCTCTTGAAGGGCTCAATTTGTTTTTTTTTTCCCACATATTTCTCTATAACAAATTTCTTCCTCACTTAAAAATTTTTCCTACATAAATTTCTCTGTAAAAAATTTATCTTTCTATATATAAAACTCGCATTTCTAGAAATTATGTGCTAAACAAAATTTACTATTATTTCTCTGTCTTCAATATTTTCATTTTTATATATTTTCATTTCTTTCTTTTTTTCTAATATATCAGACACACTTTTCTCCCTCTAAATATTTAATATTTTCCCAAAATTTTCTCTCTCTCATATTGGACCTTTTATAACTTTTCTTTTTCTTTTTACATCTCAAACTTTTCTCCATCTAAAATATTTCTCTTTCAATTGGTTTCATATAACTTTTCTGTCTCTTTTTTTATTCACTATAATTTTTCTTTCTCTCTTTTGTTTATTTATTTATTTTTTCTAATAATTATATCTCAAACTATTTTGTCTAAATTTTTTCTCACCATCATTTTTCTCAACAACTGCTTCACCCCATTATCATCTTTAATTTACATAGATTTTTTCTCACTCTAGCATATTTTTTCAACTCTTTAACTTTTTTAAACAATAAAATACCAAAAATGATAACTGTTTTTTGTTTTCAAAAACCGACAACAAAATACTCAAAATAGGAATCATTACCAAACGGGTCCTGAGTTACAAGTGAAACATGAATATAAATAGAAAAATACCACCAATTGTGTTAACATGAACATAAATAGAAGTCACACATATTTGAGAAAGTATTGGATAAGGCTATAGTTATTTTTTTGAAAGTTGAGAATTTAGAAACTAAAATTCTCAAGGGCCAAAATGGAACAAATCTAAAAGTTGAAGAGCGAAAATATATAAGATTGATGCCTAGGGTTTATATATCTCATAAACAAAAGGCCTTGAAAAACAGATATCTTCGACAAGTTTACGGACGATGAAGGGAATTTCAAGGAATCACTTGCCAAGGATGTTCGAGGAATGTTAAGCTTATACGAAGCATCTCATGTGCGGATACATGGAGAGGACGTTCTCGAACGGGCCCTCTCTTTCAGCACCACAAACCTAAAAGCAGCCATTAGCAATGGAAGCCATGAAGGGAGCTGTGGGATTGGAGGTCAAGTGAGGCATGCATTGAAGTGGCCAGTCTTCAAAGCCATGCCTAGGCTTGCAGCAAGAAGTTACATATCTTTCTATGAACAAGATCCATTGCATCATCCTACCTTGCTTTACTTGGCCAAGCTTGATTATAACATCTTGCAAAAACTTTACCAGAAAGAACTTCATGAAATCTCAAGGTGAAGATATCATATCCATCTTTAGCTTCTTCCCAACTTCTTTTTTTATTCTTTCCCTTTCTTTCAAACTACATGCGTGCATATAGTATTTGTTAAGTTACAAAACTAATTTCGTCCTCAATTTTGAGGATTGTGTTTATTTAATCTTTATTAAGATCTTTGAGCAAGTATTATTGACATGCTAACTTTGAGCAAGTTCAAGCCTTAACAGCGTAATATGGTGTTGAACCAATGAAGTTAATATAAGCACTTAATTATTATGCACCAAGTTGAAAAGGAATTTTTTTTGGAATATATGGACATATTAAATAGACACACCTCTAAAAGCTCAAGGGTCAGACTTATAATTTAACCTTTGTTTTTTTAATAGTACAATTTTTTTAATCTATCTTTTATGTTATTATTGTATGCACTTGAAATCTTTGTTTCTACGAGCCCATGCTTTGGAAACTAAAAACATACGTTTGGGTATGGTTATTTTTCTCATACTTATCTTTTAGAATAATTAAAGTCATGTCCTCTAGAGAATGACGTAGTTACGTCCTCTAGAGAATGGCCTAGTTGGCAAGGATATAAGATTTCATGGTATCACCTGATCTTGTGTTCGAGCTCTATCAGTTACCAGAACCTATCTTAAATAGAACTTTTGATTTCCAAAAAATTATCTAAACATATTCAGTTTTTTACTTAAATCTTACTTATACAATGTGTTATCTCAAGGTGGATGCGTGGAATGCTATACTTGGGCATTGGGAACATACTTTGAGCCTAAATACTCTCTTGGTCGAATAATTTTATCCAAAATTGTGGTCATTACTTCAGTCTTGGATGATATATTCGATCTACATGGTAAATTTGAAGAACTTCAACTCTTCATTCATGCGATCGAGAGGTTCGGTTCCCTCAATTCGTTGAAGATTTTGTTTGATAATGATTTTATATTTTGAAAATCGAGCTCTATCATAGAAGGGCCTTTTTAAATCTCTGCCAAATTTCGGCTTTTCTTTGGTTCATACTTTGATATTTTAAAAACACTTTACGGAATTATTAGGAAAGAAAACTACTTTTTAGTTTTTAGTCTATGGTATTTTAAACCTTGCATTTATTTGGTCTCTGAATTTTAAAATGTTTAAATCAGGTTTTCAAAAAGCTTGGATCATGTTTCTATTTAATCCATATTAGTACTACTACTAATGAAACAATGATGCAACGTGTCCAAAAGATAAAAGAGTATGTCATGTAGTTTGTTAATAATGTCAACATAAGTACCATCTAAAGTAGGGGTGTAATATAATTTTGTTAAAATTTTTGAAGTTATAAATAAATATAATGTTTAAAATAGAGCATTACTAATTTGTAATTTAACTATGAAATTAGTAACTAAACGACAGTCTAAATTTTAAAACAAAATCGTTATCGAATCTAACTTATTAGAACTATTGCTTGGTCTAGAGTAAGTATCTTTTAAATTACAAGTTACGTTTACCATTTTTTCCACTTTTTAGGTGGGACGATGTTAATTGCATTGAGGGACTTCCAAAATACATGAAAGTGTATTATGAAGCTCTAATGGATACTTACAGAGGAATTGAGCACGATATTAGCAAAGATGACATTTCTTATGCCCTTCATTACGCAAAAGAAGCCGTATATTCTCTCTTACCATCTATATATTCTTATTAGTCTCATGGAAAAAAAATAGTAGTTCTTTCTTCTCCAACATATTTATAAAAAAGAGAAAAAAAAACCAACTTGACATGACCCGTCCTAGATTACATTGGAATATGTTGTTGGTACGTCATGTCCTAGTTGGATAGGGTGATCTGGGACGTATCATGTCAAAACTCTTGTTTTTTAATTTTATTTAGTATTTTCCTTATATGATATAATTCTTTGTGCATACCCAGATGAAAAGGCAGGCTAGAAATTACTTTTTTGAAGCTAAATGGTATCATGATGGCTATACACCAACAATAGAGGAGTATTTGAGAGTTGGAAGAGTAACTGCTTGCTACAATTTATTTTCTCCCATTTCATTTCTTGGCATGGGAGATGTTGCTTCAATGGAGGCGTTTGAATGGATTGAGAGTGATCCGAAATCGCTCATTGCCTCGGGAGTCATTGGTAGGATCATGAATGATATTACTTCCTACAAGGTAATTCTTATACTATATTAAGATTTAAACTATATCTATATCTCAACAATTTAGGTCGTTTGGTAACTATTACATTTTTAGTTTTCATTTTTTTCTAAAAAGAAATAATAAGAAGCTTGTAAGCATACTTCATGTGATTCTTTAATTTGTGTTATCTTATCTACTTTTCAAAAATTATTTTCGAAATCCAAGCCAAACTTTAAAAACTTAAAAAAGTACTTGTGAAAGATTTTTTTTTTTAATTCGGCTTAAAATTCAAATACATTTCAAGAAAAAGTAAAAAATATACCTAAATTAAGAAATTGTGAGGAGGCAAGTATAACAAAAAAAATTAAAAAAGAAATTGTTATCAAAAAGTGATCTTTTTAAGTCTAGTGATAGTTTATTATAGTGTTAGAGTGGGTCGAAACTGCTGTTTTTTTGTGGTTTAAAGTTTAAATTATTCCTACAATATTAATTTTCTCACAGTTTCTAATATTACTGCTCCATAAATATCAAAACGGAAGCCCTTAAAGGAATATTTTGGGTGGCTTGGGACATCAAGAAATATCCTTGAGGTCTTGGCTCGAACGTAACATCCAACCAACATATGTACGGGTGGGTATGAGACAGTGCCCATACCCACGACTTCAACTCAATATATGGATATAAAAAAATGAAAAAAATAAATTTATCAATAATCGTCTTCACTTTCAGAGTTGGCATGTTTGGGAGCGATTTTTTTATAGCTTGCTTCTTCAGTCTAAAAAACAATTGACAATTAAATGGTCAATAATATCAACCTCTAAGAAAAATACAATCACAATTCTTAAAACTAGTTTTATGAACAAAACCAATCACCCGTTTGAATAGATCCCATTGGTGTGGGATCCCCTCAAAATGGTGACTCCTTTGGATTCATCAATCTTTGCAAGATTCTATTTTTTAACTGCATGTTCGTTTAAACTTTTGAATTGTGATATCTTATCACATTGTGAGATCGCTCTACACTTCTCTCTCTAATTTTTTTCCTTTCTTTTGTTTGATAAATATATAGTTTGAACAAGACAGGAGACATTCCGCTTCTGCCGTTGAATGCTATATGAAACAATATGATGTATCAGAAAAAGAGGCTACACGAGAACTGAATAATCAAGTTACGAATAGTTGGAAGGAAATCATAGAAGATTTCGTGCAATCAATTGATGTTCCAAACACTACTTTTTTTATGTCTGTCTTAAATCTTGCTCGACTCTCGGATACCTTTTACAAACACAAAGATGGATACACATATTCCGATGGAGAAACCAAACTTATTGTCATTTCGTTACTCGTGGATCCAGTGCCAATTTAAGATGTGGTATTGAGCTCGATGATCAGTTTCCATGCATAAAATTGTATTTTACAAGTTGTACTAGAACAAATATGTGATAAATGATAAGAATATGAACAATGCACTAAATAAAATATTGTGCTCAAAGATTTGTAGCAAGTATAATTTTTTTGGTGGGTAAAGTTAGAGGGCTTTTATCGTCCTCCGGAGAATGATGCAGCAACTACAGTGTTAGACCTTGTAGTATCACCTACTATGAGGTATTAGGATCAAGCCATGTATTGGTTTCTTTGTTGGCAACGAAGCCCAATTATATAAATCTACTCCATAAGCCACACAATATCGATTTTAGGAAACAATAAAAAAAATTAGACTTTTATCGCAAGATTATATTAAAGCATAACATTGGAGAGATCAAAGGTAAATTGTGACATGTGTGTCGATATTTGAATGCTATTTAATAATATTAGCATTATATTGAAATACCTAAGTTGGTGCTACTATATAATACATTTTCTAGGTTTTAAATTTAAATAATTTGTGATTAAAAAATAATTAAACTATTGAAGTGTGATAGTGTCTCTAAGAGGTGTACCAAACAAAAAAGGGTGTCTCAGAAAAATTTGAACTGCAAAATGTCTTAAACGAAAAATAAAGAGCTTCTTGGTATTTTTTTTTTTTTGTTTGAGTACACTTCTTGGTTGTAACAAATAAGTTCATAAATCATAGTTTTTGCAAGAAATGATGTATTTCAACAATGAAAATAAAAGAATGAAGACGATATAATAATTCCTAAAAAAAAAACAACGATAAGTTCAACTAGCCAAACTATTACTTACCCTCGTGAAGGATGAAAATTTTAATCTTGCACCCTTTATTGATTGGAAATTTTTTTTTTTTATTAATTGGGTTTTTATTTTGTAATATACATCTAAAATTACACAAGGCCAAAGCCCGTTAAGTCTGTGGAGGCTTGATGAAAACATTTTCGAAATGTATACAACTTTGATCCAAGTTTAAGAACAAGATCTCAATCTTCACAGACTTGACAACAATGACATCTTCCTCGAAGACAAAGTCAGAGACTAGTGGACGTCATTGAGAAGAAAGAGTTCCGGCTTCAAACCGACAAGAGAACCCATGGCCACAATGTCCTCCTCTCATAAATTGGATCCTACAAATCTTTTTCCATGTCGTTACTACCGGACACCATAACCTGGCTTCATGGATCTTTCCGAACACTCATATCTACCTCGAGAATAAACCGCTTCTTCCAAGAGAGGAGATACAGTGATTACTGTATATGGATTGGGATCGAAGAGGTTGCATAGCATAAATTTATCGAGTAGACGAAAAAGGCCGCAAATTTATCGAGATAAACGAATCTGTGGCAACTTTCAACCCATTCCAAGCCGACAAAGCTATACTCCATGTTCGCAACTCAGAACAAGCAAGACTAATGAGGGATTTGAGCTTGTTGGAATAAACACACCCTGAGAAAAATAGATATCATGGAAGCTGCCATTAAAGTCAAAGATAATTTTCGTGATTTCATCTCAGCTTCCATTGAAATCAAAGACGCCACCAGGAAATATTTCATCGTGAATACTGTAGCTCCGACGAATGGGAAATGGTTAATTATCAGACACCAAAGATTCATGGAACTTTCACGAGAGAGGCAGCTGTTCAATTCGATGAATTCGGTTCTTTGTTAGAAAGTTACTATTTTCAAGGTAACTCTGCCATCCCTCCTCCCATAGTTGCTATATCAAATCAAATGCAAATCTCGAATACTCCCGTTTTTTCTTCATCTTCTCACACTAGAAACAGCAGCATCCATCCAATCCAATATGAACAAACCCAAATAAGAACCAAAGGGAAGGAAATCTGCAAAGAAAGGGAAGCGTCTAATCTGAATTTTACCTAAATCAAAGAAAGTCACTTTCCCATCCCAAAAAACTGCACCTATCATTTCAATCCTGACACAGCTGCTCAGCCACACAAAATCATTGCCCCTTACGGTAGACCTTGGCCCATTATAGCCTATCTCTGATACCGTTGTGTCTAGCCCGGATTCTTATTAAGACAGCCCACCAAACTCAAACTTCAACCAGAAAACCCATACAAACCTCATTGCCACAGAAGAAATCTTGGACGGCAGCCTTCAAACATTATTTAATGAAGCACAGGAAGACAAAAATGCTCAAAATGACATAGGGAAAGAGAATTTCAAAAAACAGTTAAACAAATGGCTGATCGAAAATGACTTCTGTATAATGCCCATCTCCAATGCCCAACCACTTCCCATCCATAGCAGACAAGCAAAGGGATTTAATCAGGGGGATACTACAGCGCCTTCTTCTTCTAGGGGTCAATACGATAGCCAATGAAGATTTTGGCTTGGAATGTTAGAGGGGCTTGGTTCGGCCTCCAAACGAGCCGCCATAAAGGATACTATTTCTACTATCTGCCCCGACATTGTTATGCTATCGGAATCGAAAGCTTCATGTATCTCTAGTTGCTTTATTAAATCTATATGGAGCTCCATAAGCATAGCCTTGGGTCTCTCTTGATGCATTGGGTTCATTTGGGTAGCATTATAATCATTTGGGATAGACTTTCTATTGAGGCTGAGGAAGTCGTTTGCATATACGATTTCTGTCCTTTTCAAACTTGCTGACAGCACACAGTGGTGGTTAACAGGGGTCTACAGGCCTGTTCGTAGAAGGAAACGAAAACTTTTATGGCAAGAGCTTTATGCTCTAAACGGGCTATGTAGTCCATTGTGGTTATTACGAGACGATTTCAATATCTATAGATGGAGCCATGAAACATCTTCTGCAAACCCCCATCAAGCTGGTATGAGACATTTTAACAAGTTTATTGATTTTGCAGGGCTTATCGATCCAAGTCTTGAAAATGGTCCTTATACATGGTCAAATCTCGGCCATAGACCAGTTCTCTGGCGTGTTGACTGCTTCTCTTCTCACAGAGCTGGTCCGAAAAGTTCTCCTTCGTAACACCAGACGCCTCCCACGAGTTTGTTCGGATCACTACCCTCTTCTCCTTGAATCTCCGACTCATAAATAGGGACCTTGCCCATTTCAATTAGAAAATTTGCGGATTCAAGATAAAAAGTTCCAGCAGCTCATATCTACTAAATGGAGTTCAATCAACTCCCATAAATATGCTGGTCATGTAATTATTAAAAAGCTTTATATTTTGGCTCATTTATACATATATAAAAGTGGCTACAGGCATAAACTTTTTATCGTAATTTTGCCTTTTTATTTAATTATTTTCACTATTATTTTGAGGACAATTTTATCATTAAAATACAAGGTTTTTGGTATTCTTTTAATAATGAAAAATAATGTTACAAAAGCAATAATTTATTAACTTACCGGTGAAATTTTCACTAGAAGAAAAGCCCATTAAGCTCCCAAAAACAGTCAAACTATTCCACTTCCCCCATTATCTCCCATAAGTGTTGTGTTTCAATTTGGAGGAGAGAGATACTCATCTCACCCTCTCCCAATCCTTTCATCTTCCTCTTTAATTCCCCTCCATGTATAAATAGTTATCCTCACTTTTCTCTTGGCAACAAAAAATCAAGAGATGGTTGAACAAATTTGATTGAAAAATTGTTTCTTTGGCGTTTATTCTCCTGCTTTGGAAACGGCAGCTTACCTAAGGGCAATCAAAGGCAGAATTGATAGCGAAGATATAGAAGAGTTAAAATTGAATTGAAGTTGTGGTAGTCATTGGCTTTCTCGAAATTATCATTATTCAGGAGAAATTGGAGAGTGTCTTGAGTTGAAACGACGAGAGATCAAATCGTGATAAGGCATAATCTAATCATTCTCGTGGTTGGATAACATAGATGCTTCTAATTTTTTTTAGTACAAATGGAGGTGGAGGATTCGAACTCATGACCTCTGATCAAAACTGGTGTCAATTATGGTTGAGTTAAGTTAATGTTGGCTTAATTTATTTATTTTTAAAAAGTGATGCCTTGAGTTATGCATGTACAATGTCGGAAATTATTTTTACAACATTATGAAAAAAAATCAAAGTTTATCGCTATTAATTTCATTCCGATTGAAGCGCGTAGAGAATGTTTTTTTAGGGTTTCATCTTCCTCTCACTATTGCCTTTCTTTTTCAAATGAATCAACTCAACTCGGTATTAAACAAACTCAACATTAAAATGTAATACCATGATCAATCATCCAGGAAATAAGTAGTAAATTAAGAACAATATATATTGGTTCATCGAATATGCTAACCGATACGTAAAATTTAGACAAGAGTGCAAAGAGAATTCTTTTAATTGTGATTTTTTCATTACTCACCTAATTTCCAATGTTTGTTTTTTAGGGTGTTTTCAAAGAATATTAATAGAAAATAATAAATTATTTTATTTTATTTTAATTAAAGTTGTATTTTCATTATTTTGGGACGTAATTTACTATATTAATATAAATATTAAGTCAAATCATTGCTCAACTGGTTAAAACATCTATCTCTGACCAAATGGTCAGCTCAATTTTTGTCTATTAAATTTACATTGGTCAGATCAAGTGGTTACAAAAATAATTCTCCATTAAATTTACTTTTAGAAGAGAAAAATGTTGCACGTGGACAAAAATTAGTATTTAAAATGGGAGAGAAAATTTGTAAAAATTAAGATATATATATATATATATATTTTATAAACATTGAGAGATATTATTTAGAAAGAGAGCTCAAATTAACGTAATTGAGCGAGTTTTAAATGACATAATTATTGGTAGTAATAATAAAATGATAAATTTCACGTGCATCCCACGTGTTGCCGACTAGTAGCATAAAAAGGTGGAAGAAGACTTGCTGCCCAAATTTCCCTATAGAAAAGGCCCGCATCACCGTAGAAATCTCTCTAATCCATCAAAAAGAGGAATCCGGTCAAATTGATGAAGCGGACTGCCATCTCCAAACATCCTTAAAAAATTATTTGCACTCATGAGCTTTAGCCAGATAAGATTATGGAGCCAAAAATGCAATTGGAAACGTTGATAAGTCCTCACTAGAATTTATTCTAAAACTCACCAACTTTAAATAGAAGAATTTTGTTCTCTTATTAAACTTAAGAACATACAAGAGAAGAATATTGTTCTCTTTTCTTTCTTGATTGAAATGCTTCAATTTGCTTCTTTCTTGCTTGATTACAAATGAGGGAAATGATMCCTTTATATAACATCCAAGAGACACATCTAAAAGACACAAAATAAATGGATACATGTATACATACTATTCATGTATCTTAATACATTATCTTACA